ATGTTTGCATGAGGTATGGTTTACTACTTTTACCATGTCAAAGATAGCTTAAAGAGGTACGTACATGCACAAGAAGAATTAGCTCTAGGGTTTGGTGACTATAAATGCTCGACTATGTGGGTGACACATAGTGAATTTCAAATAATGATATTGTAGATCATGATGATAGGCCTCACCACATGAAACTTAGTTTGAAGGCAAGATCTTTTGGATCATGGTGATTGCCGATGGGAATGTTGTGTACAAATAAAATTTCATATTGAGTAATTGAAAAAATCAAGAAGCTACATAAGGTGTAAAACTCTTTGAGAAAAATCATGCGTACTTAACCTAAAACGAATAATATCACACCATATTAAGAGTATATTTAGACTGACTTAATTAATTCAACAGCCAACATATAGTCATCTTTACACCGACTACTTTCTCATATCTGATATACACAACACCATGTATCTTTCTATCCCCAAAACAACATTAACAACTCATGTACCAAATATTAAAGGGAAACATAACAAATATACCCCCGAACTATCATAAATGATATGCAGATACCCTCCGTCATACTTTTGGGGCATTAGTATCCCTGCCGTCCAAAAACTAGAACATATATACCCTTTATACTAACCGACATACACGTGTCATAATCCTATCCACCGATCCGATATTTATTAAATATCGGATCGACCGATAAGATTGCGCCATGTGTCCCTTTTTAGTCTTCCGTTAGAGTGAAGGGTATATATGCTCTAGTTTTTGGACGGTAGGGGCACCAATGTCCCAAAAGTATGACGAAGAGTATCGACATACCATTTACGATAGTTTGAGGTTATATTTGTCCTTTTTCCCAATATTAAATAAAGTTTGAAAAATTGGACGATATGTCACTGTTCCTCTCATTCTTTATTCCAATTTAGACACTGTACATACTACATAGGTTAATGCAAAACAAGATAAATTGTCGGGGCATAATTGTTACATACAAAATGACAAACCCCATAAGGTTATTTAATTCAGAATTATACTTATATTGTGTCTCTTATTTATTTTTTTGTCTCAAGTATTCTCAACATCAAGAACTCTTACATGTTTTTTTTAGGATCAATACAAAAAAATATTTCTGAACAAAGCTGTGTGATTTTTGTACTAGTAAAATTTAGGCGTGCTATAAGAAACGTCATTATCTTTCTTTTCTTTTTTTTTTCTTTTTCAGATCTTTTTAATTCTTTTGCTTTTATCATCTTCTAATATCTGAAAACTATTATAGCAAACTGTGTTAAAAAAAAAAAAAACTTTTGAAATTTTAAAAAAGAGTTGGGGACCATTATACAATCTCTAGCTATATTGTGAGGATTTAAAAGAAGATCCCTTTATTCGCTTTGTCTGAAAACTCCAATGATCAACCACTACTCTCCTTTCACTTTCATTTTCTCATTGGGATTGATGTTTGCATTTTGTAACTCCAATAGGGTATGAGTTTAAAATTTCAATAGACTTGACATGATCAAACAACAAATATGTGTTCGATCAAAAGCGATCTCAGAGTTTGAAGTTTATTTATCAAAGAATGGTAACTTAGCTTTTGAAATGTAACTTTGAGATGATAATATAATATTAATTGAATAACCCTTCAAAACTTTGTTCAATGGATTGTCCAACAAATATATAAAGTTTGGATCAAGACTTAAACTTTCACACCCAAGGTTGTGGTCTAGTAGTCAATGAAATAGGTTGAGAATCACGATATCTCATGTTCAATACTAGGTATTTTCTTTCATCTATCCTAACACAGCCTTAGTAGATAGAGTTACATAATACAGTTGCTAATGAAAGATAATAGATATAGAGTTTATGTTAGTTGCTAAGTGCTAATTCGATACCTTCTTTACGACTTTCGACCAAATTAAAGCACCCGTATATTTTTTTTATATTTAATACAATGCAAATACAAATGGGTTGACTAACGGAAAACCTGGCTAGCTAATATGATTTTAAATGAAAAAAAATATAGTCACTTCCATAATGAATATAAATAATTTGGAGCCAAAGTTGCATCTTTTGAAATCCCTCAGTGGCGCCGTCTCTGTATTTTTTGGATCATATTTTATCCAAAAAAAAATTATAGTACGTAGCTTCTAATCATAGAATCCAAATTTAAATAAATTAGTTATCCACCTTGTTTTTCATTGGACAAGTGGACAGATACTAACTTGTGCTGGTTTTCTATTGAAGATGTGTCTTTTTTTGAAGGGAGCTAATTTAAGATCAAATTGTAAAACAAATCACTGTCACACGCAGTGCTGCAGAGCAAGGATTTTTATTAAGGGATGTCAATGAATATAGTAAAAAAATAATTATAAAGCTAGTAGGGCTTAAACACGCAAGCTCAAAGAATTCTCGCAACCCTTTAACTACTAGATTAAACCATCAACTTATGTCAAGAGATATCAATAATTGTATATATATATTAACACCCCTTGGGCAAAGGATGGCTCCTTCCCTGGTCACGTACACTACCTAACCGTATATGAGATTTTCACCTCATATAGCTTCTCGTTCAATTCATTTGCTTACTCATTTTTCTCATTTGCCTATATGCACAATGTACCAACCCAAAATTGTCAAGTTTCACCTCAAATGTCATCATTTTCCTGCAGACAACAAAATTAGTAGTACATTGTTCTATTTGTTTCAACCATTCCATCAGAACATCTAATTTTGTTTCTGAATCCATCTGTCGTATAGGGTAGAATTAATCAGTAAGTATTTGGAATAAAAGTACAAGACGGGTTGGATTATGACTCAGTTCGTCATAACTTAAACGGATATATGAATAATAAATCAGATTGAATAATTCAAAGAAAAAAAATAAGAAATACACTCTCAACCACCTTCAAGATTCTATATTGAATATGTGATTTATGATAAATACTTATTCGTACCAGGTACTTAAAGCTATTGAAGTTAACCTTAACATTTAGTAAAAATACATATTTTACTGATTCGATATAAACGGTAAGTTTTTAACTTGATTCAATTATGAGAGTGATAAGAGTTGTTATTCCACTCTGAAATAAAGACAATCTAGAAGTCAAAAAAGACAAGGCCTATAGAATAAGTTGATCGAAATAGTACAACTATGCTCTCCAATAGGTACAAACTACAAGGCAAAATATATCCCATCATTCAACTAGTGGAATAATTACCTCATCTTAGTCCTTATGTTATTGAAATGGGTAGCATGTGCCCACAAAAAGCATTCAACAAGTAATCATTATAAACTACTCTTTTCTATCCAAAAAACAAGAAAAAGATTGTAATTCCATATTGTTGATTGATTGACAACACTCAACGGCAAAACATTTGTAAAACTCATACAACTTGCTAACATAAAACAGCAAAATTTCACGGCACACCTTATTTAACCTATGACCAGTTTTTCCAAAATATTTAACTGGTAGTCATGTGCGAAGCTAGGGGTCGAAAGCGGACCTCCTTTTATATTTATATCAAATACTTTGATTTCTTCGTGTGTTTTTTTTCTTAAAGTTTTGAATGCTCTAAGCAAATACTAGTAGCCAGTTTAGGCCTTCAGAGAAAATGCTCCTTAGCTGTTGTACAGTAGTGTGTTTGAAATTTATTGTATATCAGTTCAAGTATAATGTTTAAAGAAGTGAATCTTGAAATTCGAATATAAAAAGTGAGTTTAGATCAAGTAGGTGTTGTTGGAGAAAGTTTGAAAAGATTGTCAAATTGTTAGTGTTGCAACTTTAAAGAAGTGGAATGAAAAGTGAGTTTAGTAGGCGTTTGGTAATAAATTTCAAATATTTTCACTTTATTTGGACTTTAAGAAGTTGGAGTTCAAGATGGAGTCGTGTTAGGTTATAGACTTTTCTCAAAGGAGAAAAGAGAACACTTTATTTGGAATTGAGATGGAATTGGAAAACAAGTTACTATTCTCAGTTTCCAACATATATGTGAAACTTCAAACATTGATAGTTCATACTTAGATATACATACTTTAAGTTTGTCCTTAGCAAGCCAGCTCCAGACACATAATTTTTACAACTATGGTTGCATGTTTCGAAAGTTATTTCTGAAATGACTAAACTTACAACAGTATATTATTAACTTCAGTTATGCTTTAAATAGAGGTTCCCAAAATCGACTATCTATGCACTTGCGTGGAAAACTGTATGCATGTATATTAGCACATGTATATACATGCGTATGAGGATGTAGGTGTAACCAAATACCGAGATAATGTAACTTAAAAGGAAGGCGAAAAGTTCATCAAAAGGGATCAACTGAAACAATGTATAACCAACGCTGCAAAGATGGAACAATTTATTTAGGTGAGAAGTCAGGGAATTTAAAGATGCAAACGCGCCTTGCAACAGAAGAGGATTGTGGTCTGATCATCCACATTCTTCTTCTGAGAAGGTTTCGGTTGACTGGTTTGCCATTTAAAGTATCTAAATTTCATATTAGCACATCTTTAAGAAGTTTACTCATTGTACTTCTGGATATTCCAATATTTATTTTAGTACATGGTAGCATTTAAATGTTTTACTTGTTTGATCTTCTTTAATCAAACATGTCACCATTACTTTAGATATGATGAAGAATAACAGAGCAGTGAGCCAGTCCTAATGCAAGTTCAAAACCAGGAGAACATTTCTGTTAAGTCAGATGTACCTGTAGTTATGCGGATGAGGCCCAAGCTTGTAAACCCCATTCACACCTACCTTCTGGCCATCTGCAAGTAACAGAAAAGGAAAGCCTATGACTAGGACACAAATTTAAGGTAGATCTCGGAGATCCAAAGTTTAGAGTGGCAAAGGTATCCCAAGTACAGGTCACAAGAATTTGTTCTTAGCTTTCAACAGTCATTCTTAAGCATGGCGAAAGTTGCAGTGACTTGTTCTCTCTTCCTGAGGCACATTGAACCAGTGACACAAAACCGGGCTATTGCAGAAGTTCCAAAGGCAAAGTTCTTTGTTGCCATAGAAAGTGAAATAACTTCCTAACAGTACAAGTGCACGCAGCCCCCTCTTTACCTGAGATGGGGAAGTTGACAGTGACACTTTGCAACCACCAGTTTAACGTTATCAAGCTGGATGGCACCTCTGGCCATATAAAGATATCCACAGAAAACCTGAATCCAAGATAAAAAATAAGAAATACGCTATTACATACTGAAGTTATATGTTCGTACGCGAAGCAAAAAAATGATTACTACTCACCAGTCACCTATTTGTTGGACTGTAAACCTTTACCACCATAGTATTGTTTTGTAGTTTCGCGAGAAAATTCTGCAAATGTCATCCCATCTTTCAGCCTCGACAAAAGTGGTGGAACAATCTTTTGAATCTCGTGACTTAATTCCTCAGGGACCTGCCTATACTGTTCAGTTCCCTTGCTACATACCCCGCACTGCTGACCACTTAAAGCTAAAAGTTCAAGCGGGTAATCCAAAAGAGAGAACTGTTTGCTCCATGCTGGCTGCAAGAAGACAACAAATGTTTCCCTGCTCAAGTTTTCAACATTTGGTGGTCTACAAACGCAATGAAGTGTTGCTCGTAGCTTCCCCTTAGATAATATATCAGCTGCTTCTCCAACCTGCAGAATGAGACTCTCTGAAGGTGCATTTACGATGAAGACCTGATTCTTTTTGGGATCAAATATATGAAGATATGTGTGCCCACCGGGCGAAGGGAATTCATGCTTAGAAGAAACAGGTGAATCATTATTTATAGCTGCCGGTGCTTCTTGGTGAGAGGACAACAGAAACATAGGAACAGTTAAAAGAGTGAAAATACCATAATCATAATGCCACTGCTGCCACAGACCATAGTCATTTGATTGGTCTTTCGATGACTCAATTCCTCGCTGCTTCAGACTTGATTGCTCATTCTTATTGACTTTAACATTTCTTGCTTTAGACTGTCCATTTCTCTTAGCAGCTTCTCTAATAACATCATTGTCAGCAGCGGAATGATAATGGATCAGACGCCCTTTAGCTGTGCCAGACTCTAGTAAGCTCTGTTGCAGCTCTTGGCCCCCAATGGCCTTATCACATATTTGTGCAAGACGATGCCCTAAGTCCATCATGCAATATCCTAGCTCCTTAAAGGTGCAACCTAATTTTTTAAACTCATCCTGATCAACCTCTCCTTCATCCCGATTATCAACATCTAGATCATCAACCTGACAACCACTTCTTTCATAGCATTGCTCATATTTCAATTGCATGGAAAAAGAGGAGACATCTCTATTCGGGTTCTTCAATGATACATCACTTCCCAGATTTTGTTCCTGTTCATCAATGATTATATTGAGAGTAGTGAGCAATGGAGAAAATTATACAACCTAGCTACCATCTTGTTCTTTCAAAATCAAATTTTACAATGCAACAGTCACATTTCAAAAGCATCATAAAAATAGCATTTAAAACATTTACCATTCCTTCACCCTCAAACAGTAATATAGCAAAACAATTTGGGATATACAGATAAATATGCTCACCAATCAAAGTGGAGTAAAGCATTTAACATTAGATACCCATTGGATCTCAAATTTTATTATCAGTAAATATATATAGCCAACCCCAACTAATTTGAAATAGTGAACCATCCTGCTTTATGTAGCCAAATTTCATTCAAACATAGGTAAATAATAATAACAATTCATACTATAAGGCAAATATATAAGGGTTCTCTAAATAGAACAACAACATACCCAATGTAGTTCCACAAAGTGGAGTCTGGTGAGGATAGAGTGTACGCAAACCTTACTTCTACCTCAGAGGCGAGGTAGAGAGGTTGTTTCCTATAGACCCTCGGTTCAAGATAAAATCAATCTAGAAAAAGACGTAATGGAAGTACAACAGACAATAGATAGTAACAAAAACGACATATAGTAGCAGAATAGTACTACATCAAAATAATACTATAATAGAACTACACGAAACAACATATAGTAACAGAAATCGAAGAACAAGAAACTACAAAAGTTATTCTATGACTACTAACAAGGGCAACAAGACAATGCACTTCTACCTATTACTATTACTACTATGAACCTCCTACCTACTAACCAATGGTTTTATTAAGAACATTTCGTTTACATAAATAATGGTAAGAGTTCTCTAATTAGAGCTTCTTTTTTAACCAAACTAAAAAGCTCACACAAGTGCCTCAATTAGTCATTACAACTTTTTAAAAAATATTTTTTATCATTGTATTCTTAGCTAAGTGTGCATTACGATTTTTGAATACTAAAGGGGAGAAAAAGGAGAGAGGTTGACCTTAAGAAGGCGCTTGCGATCATCATTATTGAGAAGAGCGAGTTTTCGAGCTAAAGGAAGAAGAGTTCGCCGGAGATTGGAAGCTTCTGGAACGCCGGTGATGGCGAGAAGTCCTGGTCCCTCTGGCCCTAGGTTTTCCATTACACTTCTGGTGACTGATTCCAGACGCTGAATTTCTTCTATAAATTCATCTGATAAAGATTTGTCTGAAGAGAGCTGCAGCAAATCGGAATAATGAAGCTCGTACAATTCTACTACTTCCATTTCTTTTCTTTCTTTGTTGCTATGGTCTATGGCAATGCTGCAATTTCGACGTCGTAAACTATGTATATATATAGTCGACTAAAGTGACGTCGTTTGGTTGCAAACTTTATACTCTAATAAACAGTTGTTCCCCAAGCAAATATTTCGATATAAAAGTAATTATGTCAATAGTTTTTTGAGAAATTTATAGCATGTGTCTGTAAGAATAATTTCTTTTCAATCTCAAGCATGGGACTTCTCTTGCATAACAATGGCTTCAATGAAACTATCTCAAGCATTAATGCCTAGTGGATTTTAACGTGTCCAACAATCAACTCAGTGGGTCAAGTCAATTCGTACTACTCTTTTTCATTTGTTTGCATTGAAGATTGAAAAAATTAGTGTGTTATGATGGAAGACCCGAAGGAGGGTTGTGGATAGGGAGGTAAGTTCAAAGACTCCTTACATCAAACTTTTGAAAATGAGGTGCACATGAACAAGTTATTCATTCATCATCACATTTCAACAAAAACCCAGACAGTTAATTGAAAATCAATTACTCTTTCTGCTTCTCATTAACAGGTTATTTTCATGTTGTGCAGTTCTCCCTTATGCATTGTGATTCTTTTTTCTCTTTTGAAAACCCATGCATTCATTAGTTCATGTAAGCAGGAAAGATCAAAATGTAGAAGAAGGTTACACTCCATTCTCCTTGAAACTCTTTGTCAGCCATATAGCAGTTTCCCTTGGAGAAACCTTTTCTGGACCAAATGGTTTCAGTAACACCATAAGCTCGTCTAGACGCTCTTGCTGCAATAGTTGCGCACTGAACTCAAGTAATCCTTCTAAGGCTTCCGCACGTTGCTGGTAAGAAGATGTGTCAAACTTCCGTGAACGAGATTCTGATGATGACCGGCTTGAGGCACCAGTTGGATAATGTTCTGAACATTCACTTCCAATCTGTGCAACTCCATGAACAGGGTCAATTAAAGGTGGCTTGGGAAAGGTTCTGTCAACAACCTGTACTGTACACTTGTCTTTTGTGAATGACCAGTCACTATAGCGTGGTGATGGGGAAGACAACTGTGTCGATTTTGGTGAAGCTCTCTGGATGGGTAAAAAGGGGTCTTCTGAAGAAGCCAAGGGATCAACCATCTTGTCAATTCTTGGAGCATTCATGGAAACATCCGGAGACACCACATGGTGAATAAGACCAACATTGTGTTTGTAAGGTGATTCCAACTTCGCAGCTCCTCTTGATAAAGGAAGAGATGCTCTACGTGTTGACTTGGAAGGTTGGCTAACTAGTGTATTTGTCACTGGAAGCTGCATACGTGTGTAGTTATTTAAGTCTAAATGAAAAATCCAGCCTTGAAAAACTACAGGTACTAGCTCAATAATATAGAATCGGGACAAGAATATCCAATTCCTACCTGGAGTTATATTCATTTGTTTCGACTTATAAGCTGAAGATCTTTATGATACTATTTGATCAGAAACTTACCAGTTCACGGGTAGAGCCAGCATTGGACATCTTTAATGGAGTGCTCTGTCTCCTGTGAGGTGTGGAATTTCTATTTGAATTGAATCGCACAGTTTTGACAGCAGCCGACAACTTTGAGATAGCAGAACTTTTTACACCAAGGTCATAAGGAGCACTTTCAACAGATGGCTCTGAAAAAATTTTCTTCACAGAACTCATTAGATCTTTTGTTCTCCGGGATAAATATGGAGAGTCCATTCCAGAAATACTAGGATTCAAAGCTCTATCACTGGACAATCGCCTCAGCTCTCTTTCATTCAAGACAGGAGCATTTCTGGGCTCAGACAATCTTTTTTTCTTTGCATATGTTGAATTAGAAGATTGGACTGGGAACTTGTGCTGCCTCGGGCTGTCAGAATTCAGAAGGATTTTTAAAACATAGGGCTGAAGATGGGGATGTTGGAGTAAGTCTGCAGCCTGGAACAATAGTTGAAAGAGAATTGAAGTGAAAAAAGAGTTGATGTGTCAAACAGTAAACTTCCTTTCATGAAGCTCAAATATACACTTAGAAAGTAAATAGTGAACTTTGAGGAAATGAGGGATACATACACTTGGCCTGAGTTCTGGATTTTTCCTTAGCATACTCTTAATAAGGCCACGGCTGACGAGGAAAAAAAATAACTTTAGCAACAGAATAACAAAAATATAATAATCCTGTTGTAGCACAATTTGACGAAATAAGCACAAAAATAGGTAGCCTCAAATGTGCAAAAGATAATTTACTCACAGTGCACCAGAATACACGGTGGGAAGTGGAGCAACTATACATTTGTTAATTTTATTAATGAGACCTTGCATATCCTGCAATAAAAGCATTGAAGGTTATTTAAAGTATTACAACTGATAATAAACATATCTCAGGTAAACCGTCTATTGATTTGATGATGAGAAGCCGAAAATCTAATAAAATAAAAAGAAATGAAACCCAATAGTTGATGAATGTCACAATCATAAGAAAGAACTACATCCACTAGTTAAAGGTAGAACAAAGTTATACACCATAAGTGTCAGTACAGTTGGTCTCGCTTATAGATCAAGTAATGAAGGGCTACTCTACCCATCAGCCCATGGAAACAGTCACAGGAGAATATCCTAAAAATGGATTTAGAAATGCAGAAAGCAACAATAATTGCTGTGGAATTTATTAGCACTACCAAGATGATAAGCACAAAATGCCACGTAAGGGATCCTTGACGATGGTCTCAAGACAACTATTTTCAAGGCTACAAGCTCTTACAAGTCCACAGTTCGGCAACGTATCTTTGTTAGCTGCCAACACCCACACACTGTTCAGGGGAACTCAGCAATACCAAACATGTGTGTGTGGTCCATTCCTCTCAGGGCCCAGCATAAGGCTTGGACTAAAATCAACACAAATAGCCTCATTTTGGAACCAGCAGGAAGCCAGAGTTACATCTAACAGTAGCACCACTTTTAATTGGAAAGCCAATGTTAACTTATGCAACTCTAACCCCACTCAGAGTGTTTTCCTCCTTTATTTCACTGCTTGCACTCCCGAGGACAGGTACTCCCATTTTCAACCAATCTACAATTGCTCTAACTGCATCCTTGAATTACCACTCCAGCTCTCACTTCTTGCATGGAAGTGTATACCAAGTATACACCAGCAGGCCATAGGCTAAAAATTAACATTGACAGTAAACTACTTTTTTACAAAAATATATATGTCATCTGAGCTGCCAGTATATTCCCTAAAACTGCCAGTTGCACCTATGATTTAGTAATTGATTATATAGCTCATGATAGTACTAGAAATTCATTGTCTGGAAAGTACTATTTAATGACTTACAAATGCTTTGAATGCCGGCTTGTGAGAAGTCATTTCATATAAGCAGCAACCTGGATATGCAAACAGTCAGCAAAACAGCGTGCATCTAAAATAAAAAGTGGTTCCGTGTGAAGCAACTCAAGCAAGGAAAGGTAAAGACTTACCCAAAGACCATATATCTGATTTGCAACCATAGGGTATATCAGCGAGAAGCTCGGGACACATATAAGTTGGAGTGCCCACCACCTGACAGTCAATATGCCTCATCACCAGACTAATCAAAACAACAAACACAAATACAGAATATTCGCAGACAAGTTACTTACAGAGGAAGCAAGATCATTGGAAGACAGTATTTTAGCAAGACCAAAATCACCTGAAAACAAATCTTTAAATAAATACTCAAAGTCAATCATACCCAACTTCAAATTACGAGGTAAGGGGATTACCTAGACGTATATCGTGCTCTTTAGTCAGAAAAATATTTGAACACTGACGCCAAAAAAGTAAAATCAGCAAACAAATCTATGAAACAGAGAATAACTTTATGGAATAACATAGAAGAGATATGAAACTCACCTTGACATCACGGTGAATTATATGGTTCGAATGCAAGTGATCAAGTGCCATCAACAGTTGAACTAGCCACTTACAAAGCTTCTGCTTATCAGTCAGTATTTAGAATTAGGAAATGAAATGGTCTCAATATTAGGAAGTAAATTTGGAGGAGGCAGGAAGGTATGAATCACAAGGAAATGTAAATTTAATAACAACCTCCTCGGGGAAAAGAACACCATTCGTTCTCTTAATAGCATCTGCCCTGTATAAGTAATGAATAGATTATTAGACGATATGTAGGCAAAAAGACATAAATAACTAGATTCAGGCGCTCAGGCCTAAGGTCCAATATTCTGAAAAAAGTTCATTTGGAAAAGGAAAGATGACTTACATATCACCAGCTTCACAATACCCAATAATAATGCACACATAGCATCCCTGAAATTGGGTATTTTCACATGGTCAATGGCATGGTAGACTGAATAAATAATTCTTCAACAGCTATACAGTACTATGAACAACTCAAAGGTTTAGTCTTATCTAAGATAATTTATGTACCACTCCTTGTATTGGTGTATTAAACTTAAGAATATTTGCTAAAATTGGAATTGTAGCACCAGCTTCTGCCTAGTAAAATCCTAATTAACCATCGAGTTCAATAGTTAAATCACTATACCTCTATCACCTTTAGATATGTAAATGCATATTCACATCGAAATCACTTGAACAATAAAAATGCACAAGGGCTGAGTATTCACTTGAACAGCAGTTTTAGTTCTTGTATAGTTCAACGTTTAACTTAGATAGGCACCTTTTTGCCATTCTTTACAATTTGTAAACTTCCACTTAAACAATCTTTCATGATGTTCACATTGTGAGAATCTAGAAGTAAATGACATGAGTAGACAAGTTATCACATGTACGTTGATTCCTTATATGTGTTAAAAGTGAAATTGTGAAAGGACAAGAGTAAGCACAGACCTTCTCCACCCAGGAATCTTTGTATTCCACCACAAATGGACTTCGTACTCTTGCGATCAGTTCCATCTGAAAAATAAAGAACCCAGTTCAGAAATTGCACATAGAAACCTGCACCTACAGATTCCCTAGTCTTCCTCAAGAAATAGAAGGAAGAAAAAAAGAGATT